TTGGTAGAGCAGGTGACTCTTGATCTCTGGGTTCAAACCCTTATGTTGGATGTAGAGATTACTTAAAAATGAAATTATCTTTTTGTAGCTCAATTTGTAGCTTATTTGTAGCTCAATAATACAAATACTTTACTCAGTAGAATAGAGGTATTTGTTCAAAGTTAGTATGATGAAGTAAAATTATCTTTTCCCATAGAAAAAATACAATATTAGAAATACATAAATTTAAATGAACTGACCATGGCAGCTACATAGCAAGCTAAGTGTTATATCATAGAGGAGGTTATGCCTCATAGGAGTTAATGCTTTCAATGTTGGGAATCTACTCACTACTGCTCCTCCACCATAGATAGTTTCTCTATCCAAATTTAAGGAGATATATTGCCTGGGACACTCAACTTATCCTTTGATAAATATTTAAAAAAACGTTGAGTACCTACTACATGGATCAAAGATGGTCTTGCTATCACGAACTTCATGGTCTTACAATAGAAAAAACTAAAACACATAACTATGGGTGACAAGTATTATGTATTATGATTAAAGTAGTAGGCAGGTCTGTCAGAAGTCCTCAGAACAGTGTTTAATATCTACTATCTCCTTTCTCAGGCTAGGGGAACAAGCACGGGCTCCTGAGTCTTCAGAAGTTACTTAACCTCGCTGGGTCTCCTCATCTCTAAAATACCTGCTATGAAAAGCTAGCGTACCTACTACATTGAGCACTGTGCCTTGCACCTAGGAGGTGCTCAACCAACTCTAGTTTTCTTCCTTTGGCGAATATTTATAAGGTTGCATTGAGCACTGCTGCAATCACACATTACCATCTGACAGTGGACACTTCCAATAAACTTCCTTCAATTTAATTTTTTTTAATTTTTATTTTTTTATTTTTTAAAGATTTTATTTATTCATGAGAGACAGAGAGAGAGAAAGAAAAGCAGAGACACAGGCAGAGGGAGAAACAGGCTCCATGCAGGGAGTCTGATGTGGGATTTGATCCCAGGAATCTAGGATCACGCCCTGGGCCGAAGGCAGGTGCTAAACTGCTGAGCCACATGGGGATCCCCAATAAACTTCCTTTGATTCAAGGCACAGGATTATATAAAGCATTGTTTCTTATTTGGCCAACTATGCAATTCTGGTTGAGTTCACCTATAGTGACCTGAGCCTCTTATTTTGGTGCCTAGTCAAATAGCTCACCTCCTCTCCTCCCATCCGTGGGCTGCACTCAAGTTTTCCTAGAACTCTGGGCAGCTTAGGTCTACAGAACAGCCCCACACTCTCCAAAATTCCTAATCTACTACCTTCTTTCATCTCTGTAATTGAAGGGTTACTTTACTTTTTTAAAACTCTACTTTAACTCAAGAATTAGCCATAACAATACTACCTACAGCATTACTCATAATAGCAAAAGACTATTAATTCAGACACCCCAAGATTGGAAACTGTTTAAGTAAAATATGGACCACCCATATAAACAAATACTGTATAGCCATTTAAAATGTTTTGACAACTTTAATGCTAAAAAAGTTGTACATATAGTATATAAATACTACCCTATAAAACAAAATGCAAGGGAGATTGAAAAAAGCAAAATGTTAGTGACTTTTAGCCTTAAATGGTGTCTCCTTTGTTTCTTGTTCTTTCAAACAAGTCTGGATATTATTTATAATGGATGGAGCCCTGTTTCTGGAACATGCCAATTTCTCTGTAGCCAAGAGTCCATCTCTCACACCATCCCTAAGCAGATTCCATTCCCCAGCTTCCTGCTACCACTCTAAGCTTTAGTCCACCCTCTACGGTCTCAGCAACACCTCCTTCGGAAGGGCTTGTCCCCTTCGGAAGGGCTTGTCCCCTCTTATCTTCAGCCTCTCTCGACCTTGTAATTACTTAAAAGGTCATCTTCTACCCACAGGACTTTAATGCCCAGCAGTTAAAAGCCTCAGGGGTTGTCAACATCCCTGCTAGTTGATCCAGTACTGGGGTTTCCCACTATTCCTGACCACAGAAGCTCTCAGCAGCCCCCCACCCTCCTGTTCCCCTATTCAACAGTTTCTGCAAAAGCCACCTCAGCCAGGCTTGCCTAGCACTCACTGTGCCCTTGTTCTCACCAACAAACCTCCTTCTTCTGCTTTTCCAAGCCAGGCAACCACAGCTTAGGTGTTTTTGTTTTTTTTGTTTTCGGATTTTTTTTCTCAAGATAAAGTCCTCCTACCCGGAACAACCCTCTAGCTCTGCCATTTCGGCTAGATGGCAGGGGGCATTTTTGTCAACGTCTCTGGATTTACTTCCTCCTACTACCCCACAAATGTGTGGTTAAGATTAAGATAAAATAACATTTGCTCACCTTTTATTCCTCTTAGGACTTGGTATCACTTTCCTCTCAAGAACCTAATACTTTGCAGCCACGCTTCAAAGCACTGAACTCATAGTCCCTTCCCCTGGTATGCAAATAACCCAATTTTCCACCTGACCTTGAGCCATCAGGAGCTCCCTCCCACTTCTTTGAAAAGCAAAATAAAACACCAATATGCCCCTCCTGCAGCACTCCCTACTGCCTTTGCCCCTCTTCATTGTCAAACCAGGGAAGGCTATTAACAGTCTCTGTTTCATTCCTCAAACCCTGAAGTTGGTGGAGATAAAGGTGGGCAGCCTCCCTACCTGGGGAACCCAGGCTGGAGACAAAGTAAAGACAATTCCTGGTGCATAAAGGCTGTAAACTACTCTTCACACCTAAATCGCCAAAACTTGAATTCTCTCACTTTTTCTAAAGAGCCAGCAAGGTGGCAAAGGGGAGCAGAAGCAGCACCGGATCTCCCTCAAGTTCACCTGCTGCCACGGGGGGCCTGGGCCAGCTGTTGGACTTGTCCCTCAGAGCAGCGCTTGGACCTGCTCAGGGCCGGGCGGCTGGGGGGGCAGAGACGGGGTGCACCTGTTGGGCAGGGACCTCCCTCAGGAGATGGTGGGCAGCGGGGTGGGGGTCTACAATGTCAAGACCTCCAACCAGGTGGCTATCAAGCCGGAGATGATTAGCCATTACCTGGGGGAGTTCTCTGTCACCTGCAAGCTGGTAACAACGCTTGGACAGCCTGGCATTGGGGCTACCCCACTTTTACTTCATCCCTCTCTGAGTGGCCCATGCGGCCAGTAAGGGCAGACTTCTCTTAAAAAACACAAGTTCTGGGCAGCCCGGGTGGCTCAGCGGTTTAGCGACTGCCTTGGGCCCGGGGTGTGATCCTGGAGACCCATGATTGAGTCCCACGTTGGGTTCCCTGCATGGGGCCTGCTTCTCCCTCTGCCTGTGTCTCTGCCTCTCTCTCTCTCATGAATAAATAAATAAAATCTTTAAAAAAACAAAACAAAACACAAGTTCTTTCAACTCTAAGGATGGTACGTGGAGCTTTGCAGGTGGACCATGTGGGAGAAAGTTTGGGGCCTCCAGGTAAAGCTCAGACTGATGGGTCTTTTTCGTAAGACAGGAGCCATTACAAGACCCACGGGCCCATCAGTGCTATCAAACACCTGATACTGAGAAAATGCCCTTTCCTTTCCATTCCTATTCAGAACCTTATTTTTAGTTTTCTACTAGACTGTAAATCTCAAAAGTTATACAATTGGAATTCTAGATAGATGGTAAGTCTCAAAGGGGAAGTCTCAAAATCAGGTGTTGCTAGTCACTATTTTTTTTTTTTTTTAAGATTTTACTTATTCAGGAAAGACATAGAGAGAGAGGCAGAGACAGGCAGAGGAAGAACCAGGCTCCCCGTGGGGAACTCGATGCAGGAGTCGATCCCAGGACCCTGGGATCACGCCCTGAGTCAAAGGTGGATGCTCAATCATTGAGCCACTCAGGTGTCCCTAGTCACTATTTTTGAATTAAAAACCACATTAGGTCCAGTTTGTATTAAAACATGGCAACACCAAAAATGTTCCCAACAGCCAGTATTACAAACTCCCAAAATTTTAACCTTCCCCATTACCTACCTATAAAAGGGTCAGATTACAATTTGGGTCAAGATTCCGTTTATTAAAATAAATTCCCATTTCTTTTGCATCTATCTAGAATTCCAATTGTATAACTTCATATAGCTTGATCTTTTCCCTGGATGAATATGTGGGGGTAACATGATTTCTAAGGTAAGTCTAGAACATAAGCAAATCTACAGTTAAGTGCCATATTGTAAACATTTTAGGCTTTGTGGACCATAGTGCCATGTGTTTTTTTGTTTTTTTTTTTTTTTACAGCCTTCTAAAAATGTAAAGAACATAATTAGTGCAAGTGCTGTATGAACATAGGTACAGTAGGCTCTGGTCCACAGGCTATAGTTTGCCAATTCTAGTCTAAATTGGGTTATGAGAGCTTCTAGACCATGACTTATCTTTTTGCTTCTCTGAGTCCTGGAGCAGGCCTCAAGGTACCGCATGCCTTAAGTATTCAAATGGTTGATAAAATCAAGCCAGGTATTGTGAAATCACGGTGAGTTCTTGGGTTGGCAAATGGTGAAGGAAAACAACATCGTAAAACTTCATGAGCCCACATTACTTTCTATCTTGGGATGTAGCTGTCTCAGCTGATTTTCCAATCACAGCTACCGGTTATGTCACTGAGCTAGTTCCTGCTCAAAAGAGCTGGCCCATGACCTTCAAAAACTAAACCCAAAAGATAGAAATGGTCTTTTGCTTATTTTATTTATTTATTTATTTATTTATTTATTTATTTATTTATTTATTTATTTATTTATTTATTTTTTAAAAGATTTTATTTATTCAGGAGAGACAGAGAGAGACAGAGGCAGAGACACAGGCTGAGGGAGAAGCAGGCTCCATGCAGGGAGCCGGATATGGGACTCGATCCCAGGTCTCCAGGATCACACCCTGGGCGAAAGGTGGCACTAAACCGCTGAGCCACCCAGGCTGCCCTGGTCTTTTGTTTAAATAGGAGGAAAAATATTAGGATTCAGTCCAGTAAGATTAAGTATTAAAGAATTTTTAAAAAGCAGACAAGCTTAGGATAAAATGTTTTATTATTAAAATAAAAAACTTTGTATAAAAGCATTACAGATCAAAAGCTCTATTTACACTTATTGATTCAATGTCCAATTAGGCATCAAACACTGAACATGCACAGCAACAGGCTGCACATGCAAAGAAAATGGACAAACACTTAGATTCCACCTCTATAAAATGATTTGATTAATGCAAAAGGGGAGGGGGCATGACACGTGGAATCTGCCCAGAAAACTAAAAGGGCAGAGATGTCCAGTTAACAAACTGTTGAAAGTCACCCAATTCCAAAAAGGCACTTCTCATTGTTATAAAAGTGCTTAAAACCGAACGTGAACCCTGTGCCTGGTTTATAACTTCAAGAAAGCAAACACTGCAAAGACTGGTAGTAGTACTATCAATTTTCCATACAAAATGATCAGGAATTAATTTGAAACACCTCACAAACAAATGGAAATAAGCCTGGCCAACTAAAATTACAATGAAGTGTTAGAGCATGAATTCAAGCTGGCCTTTCCCTGTAGCCTCAGCATCCTAACTCCCTGGGGGGGTCTTTTCTACGATGATTTTGAGCACAGCAATGCCCACAGACCACGGCGCAGGGACTGGGAGAGCCAGATGTACCACTTAACCTCCTAGCGGAAGAAAGCATCAGCAACTAAGTCTCAAAGGGGACACCGTGTAAAAGAAGCACGATACACGGAATACTCTCACAAGAGGCATCCAAAGTAATATACTCCACTTTCCGACAATTACTCCAATTTCTCCACATGGTTTTAAGACTTGTGTGCCTTGATTCTGTTAAAAAACATCAACTAGTATGAACGCTACATCTTAAATTATACTGCTTTCTTGTAAACAAGTTAGAAGGCTGTTCTCTGAAATTCAATAGATGTAGTTAGTAAACATTACTACTGTGTTGCTAAGTGCTTGGTTTTATGGGTAGATTCCGGGGCTATTTCAACGCCAATTAAATCAAACATGCTTTCGTAAAATTGCCATTTAAAAAGAATTCAGGAATAGAACGGTGGGAGAGAACCACTGGAAGCAGAGGGGGATGGTATGGGGTAGGGAGGAAAAAAAGCAGAGGAGAAATGGCAGGAGGGCAAAGTATAGCTGGCTATATACCTCTGTGATGCTCAGAAACACATGTCTAACGAAATTAATGTGATTTGCGTTTCCTATAAAACTGACTGATCATCCAAATTCTTAACTCGGGTTTCAAGCACATGACAAAATGGAAAACTTCAGGAAGATTTGCACAGTGGAGGGACGGATAGTGGATCTTCAAAATGCTATGCTTGCATTTCGAATTCCTGTTTCAGGCTGAAAGAGAGAAGGGAACATGTTAGGATATGGTTTTCAACCTAAGAATTTTCTTTGAAAAACCTAATTCACAGTTTTGAAAATGTTTTCATCGAGTTATAGTATATATAGTCAAATGCATCTACCTGAGGCATACAACTTTAATTTTTACGCACTCACACACACATCGCCACCACCCAGATAAAGTTATATAATATTTCCAACATCCTAAAAGACTCCCAATGTGCCCCTTTCCAGTCCAAACCTGCAGTCCTCAGCACCCAGAGACAACTGCTATTTTGACTTCTATCATTTTTTTTTTAAGATTTTGTTTATTTAGTCAAAGAGACAGAGAAAGAGAGAGAGAGAGAGAGAGAGAGAGAGAGGCAGAGACACAGGCCGAGGGAGAAGCAGGCCCCATGCAGGGAGCCTGATGTGGCACTTGATCCCGGGACTCCAGGATCACCCCCTGGGCCGACGGCAGGCTCTAAACCGCTGAGCCACCCAGGGATCCCCAAGACTTGTATCATTTCTTATTCAGACACATACATGAATGCAAGATTTGGGTGTGCGAGAGAGAAAGACCAGCGATTTACCTTTTCAAGTAAGCATGCACGTTCCCAAAGCCATGGTATTTGGCTAAATACACAAGGACCCCAGTTGCACACCTCCCGTCTCGCTGTCGGCAGAAACTGCAGTTGCAGATCCTGCGGCAAGGTGGGCAATGCCAGTTCTGAAGGAGAATTGTGAAAAAGCACAGTTAAGTCAAATCTTACTTTCCTCCTCTTTACTTATCTATTCCTATTTAACCTCTAAGATAGGTATCATCAATTGGATGTAAATCTTTTTTTCAGTAATAGCAAAACCGTAACATGATTATCTTCCATTTGTCCTCCTGACGTTTTCTTAGGAAATGCAGCAGAGGAAGTCACACAGCAGTTTGCAGGGGTAAAGGTAGAGTCAACCCCCCTGGAATGGCCTGGTCCCAAGCACTCTGGAGGGGGGCTCACATTCACCCAGCACCAACACTCTGAACTCATCAGCGCCCCCTGAGATGTGCACTGCAAAACAGTAAGGGCTTGATCCTTTCCCTGATGCCCTCTTTCTGGCCCTTTCAACTCGATGGCTGACCTTCGAGCCCACAGGACCACCCCTTCAAGGCACCTACTGGATCTAGGAGAGCATCCTTGACCTCTTCACCATAACGGTTTCGAAGGCAGGGACCACAGAACTGGCCTCGAACGCCCCAGCACTCCGGGTTCCTGCAGTTTGTTTTGGTATCAATAGTTTTCTGGCGGCATTGATGGCAAGTAGATCCCTAAAAATAGGCAGATAAGAAGGAAAAAAAGAACAAAATACTGCTTTTTGTATAGAAAAATATAGAAAAATGGCATAAAGAATGTGCTTCTTTGTGGATGGAGTCTGACAATTTGTCTTTGGATCCTATTTCAAATCTGCATATACATGGGTATGCCGAGGGCATGAAAAATAAATCAAGCATGGTGATTTCATTCAACTGGCAGACCCAATAGTTAATATTATCAAAACTCGTTTTCTGCGAGGGCCGCCTGGGTCACTCAGTGGTTGAGTGGCTCAGGGCGGGATCCCGGGATCGAGTCCCACTTCAGGCTCCCTGCATGGAGCCTGCTTCTCCCTCTGCCTATGTCTCTGCCTCTCTCTCTCTGGGTCTCTCATGAATAGATAAATAAAATCTTTAAAAAAAAAGACCCACAAAACAAAAACAAAATAAAAAAGTAGTTTTCTGTGAGACATACAGTCAATATATGTTGAATCAATTTCTAAAATTAAAAGATCAAATGCTACCAAAGGCTTTACTAAGCAAATACTACTGCTGCAGACTCACTAAGAGGTGTGTTATCCCAAGGATGCTACAAAACTCTCTTTCCTTTTATGAAAAAAAACACAAGCACATATCCCTTGTACTAAGGCTTTAACGTTAGCAAAAATCTAAGGATAGAAGCTCTCCTTTCTCTCACAGATGTTCATGTTCACAGATAGAATTTAGAGGTTTATACCAATGTACGGTTATAGATCTTCTCTCGAGAATTGTTGCAGATGTTCTCCAGCTCTTCCTCTGTAATTTCTTCCACCGGGCGAATTATATGTGGAAGGGTCATGGATCCAGCGCGACGACTTCTGGGCATGTCGTCTTCCTGCGTGACAAAAATCATGGACTGGTGTTTCTACTGGCTCTCCCCAGCTTTGAATCCCAGACACATGATTTGTAATTTCCTCACGAAGAATTCAACCTAGAAACCTTCCTTAGAGCTTATGGAGAAGGGACAAGTTCTAAGTTTACTAAAGATAACGGGACAACATCACGGAAATGATTCCTACATACGAAAAGCTGCAGAAAGCTTGGGGCACTTAGAAATAAAATCTCGAAAACAAAGAAACAAAATCAAGTTCGAATCCCATGTTGGATTATAGGGATTACTTAAAAATAAAATCTTAAAAAAAAGACAGAAAGAAAGGAAGAAAGCAAGCTTTGACCTTTTCACCTGCTAACAAAAACAGCAAGTAAGTCTATATAACATTAACAATTCTTAATGATTTGAGAAGAAGGTTTACTGTGGGTCATCTATGATGTTGAGGCCGCATAGTGTGTAGTGTACTGGATACTGCGCCTACAGGAAGACGACAAAGGGAAGAGCAAGCACAAACACCGAGAACTCACATTCATGTAGTTGTCCACGGTCTTCCTCTTTCTCACCAACATATACTTATCCTCCTCCTCCTCCTCCTCCTCCTCTTCTGTGGGTAGAGCACTAAGAGACCCAAGGATCCGGGACCTTGACCTGGTAAGAGGACGAGCTCTTCGTTCAGGGTTTCTCCTGGAAGCAACACCCGGGAATGTACGCCTTCGGGGTGTCTTTGACTGCTAAACAAAACACGATGGAACCCATTTATTCCAGAATGAAGAGAAATGTACCTTCTCCTTAAGCATGTTTTTAAGTAAAAGGAGAGCTCCATTTCCTAATCCTTTGTCCTTTCCATGATGCAATCACAGTGAGCCCCCAAATGGTACAGCTATTGTAATTCTGCTTTTCTAACACCAAGCCGTTTCTCTCAAACTGAGAGATGATCCATTTATTCCTCCACTGAAGAACAGATCTCATTTGGGAGCCCTGGGTGGCTCAGTGGTTGAGCGTCTGCCTGATCCGAGTTCCCAGATTGGGCTCCTTGCATGGAACCTGCTCCTCCTGTCTCTGCCTCTCTGTGTCTCTCATGAATAAATAAAATCTTTAAAAAGAAAAGAAAAAAAAAAAAAGAACAGATCTTGTTTTCCAAAAAACAAAACAAAACCTTTTCTACAACATCTCTTGAGCCCTGAAACATACTCACTATTTCTATGTGGCACAAGACAGAAATGTATGTATTTATGGTTTTCCTTCTTCTGTTCCTTGCCTGCCCCTTCCCTTTCTCCTCAGGGAGAAGTGGGGAAAGGACATCTTTCCTTTTGTACCACAGCAGACACATCAAATTCCCTTTAGTTGCACCAGCCTAGTTCCTCAGAATAGAATCACATATATTAGGCCATGACTTGGTTAAGAAATTGTTTTTTCTGAGCAGTCCGGGTGGCTCAGCGGTTTAGCACCGCCTTCAGCCCACGGTGTGATCCTGGGGACCCGGGATCGAGTCCCACGTCGGGTTCCCTGCATGGAGCCTGCTTCTCCCTCTGCCCGTGTCTCTGCCTCTCCTGAATAAATAAATAAAATCTTAAAAAAAAAAAAAAAGAAATTGTTTTTTTTCCTTTTTTCTCATTCTCAGTTACTAAAAATCTGTATTATTACTCATCTATCATGCAGAAGGAATATCCTAATGCTGGGGATACAGGAAAAAAAGTTTTCAATCTTTACTCCCTGCTCTTGAGGGGCTTAGTTTAGTTGGGAAGGAGAGAAACAGCCAATCAAAATGGGTCTAAGCACTGCAAAGCACGGCTTAGAGAGGAGGCCACACCTGCCCTAGGATGCACAGAAGAGGTCCCAGAGATATGTTAGAGAGGTTTTTCCTCCAGTTCTTTGTCTGTAGGACTACACAAAATAAGGAAATTGGATTTTAAAATAATAAATTTATCTTAGACCTGTCCAAAATACTATAATACAAACAAGGATTTGCACTTACTGAACTGGGGCCTGGTAGGGAACGCCTTCCGGGGAATGAGCCAGGGAAGCTTTCTAATTCCGACATTAGTTTTGCAAGCTAAAAAGGGAGGAAATTCAACAGAAATTATTAGTTTAGAATAAATGCAGGGAATAAAGCAACTTTTGGAAAATATAGTAGCACATCTCAAGTTTCCAGTTTCACTCATATATTTGCCAAGACTAATGAATTAAAAAAAAGAAATTAATTTAGGAGGAGAAGCATATATTGAAGGGACGCCCGGGTGGCTCAGTGGTTGGGCGCCTGCCTTTGGCTCAGGTCATGATCCTGGGATTGGGGATCAAATCCCTCATCGGGATCCCCCTGAGAGGAGCCTGCTTCTCCCTCTGCCCGTGTCTCTGCCTCTCTCTCAGTCTGTGTCTCTCAGGAATAAATAAATATACCTTAAAAAAAAAAAAGCATATTTTGAGGCATTCATTGTGAAGGCTTCACAGCACACTGAAAATAATTCTTAGGACAGATATAAACAATGAGCAGCTTAGAGAAAGGACAGGATGGGTTAGTGTCAGAACAAAGTCAGATACCTACCATCGCTTTGTTTTGCTTTATATTTAAAGCTCTTTTCTCCAAAAAGTTCATTCCATTTTCATCTTCGGAATCGGAATTAGAATCAGTCACAGAATTCTCAGAGGGTTCGGGGGGCACTGCTCTTTTGCTGGCGGCTCCCCTGGTGTTCTGAGTTGGAAACTTCATGGCCACTCGGAGGGGTCCGGACCGTCTGCCCTGGCTGCGGGTCTTACAGCCAGTGTGGTCTGACTGCAGTCTCTAGTTAATCAGGAACAATGGAGTCATTAATGACTTGTTGATTGTCCTACAAGCTGCACCAGTAGGACTACAAATCTCTTTTGAACAAAAGACGCTGCTGACATGGAATAAATTTTAATTGAACACTTTAATCGTCAATTTTAATTGACAGCCCTGAGAAACAAATCAGGAATTACAAATAAGTACAATAATCAGTTTAATTTAACTCCCGTAGCCTATTTGAGACATGTTGTTATAAGCCATCTTCATAGCCTTTATTAGGCCAGTGGTTCGGAGTAATTTTTTTAATTAAATGTGAAAATCCCAGTTCCCTTTTTAATTTAGAAATAGATCTTTTATTTTTTAAAAGAACTCCTATAAAAACAAATATGTGTCCTCTCACAAACACGGTTTCAATGCTTATGGCATTAAACCATATAGGTGTCTTAGTGCTCTAATCTACTTTTTAAAAAATGTGTGGTAAATATGCATTACATAAAATGTACCACCTTAACTACTTTTAAGTGTACAGTTCAATGGCATTAAGTACACTGTTGTGTAACCATCACCACCATCCATCTCTAGAACTTTTTCATCTTCCTAAACTGAAACTCTGTACCCATTCAACACTAACTCCCCACTCCCGGCGGTCCTCTGGCAACCACCATTCTACTTTCTGTCTCTCTGAATTTCACTACTCAGGGTATCTCTAATCTACTTCTTGTAAATTAAAAAAAAAAAAATTGAGATTCCAAACGTAAAGTGGGTTTCCATCATTGAAAATATATTAAAATTAGGGCAGCCCAGGTGGCTCCGCGGTTTAGTGCCGCCTTCAGCCCAGGGCCTGATCCTGGAGACCAGGGATGGAGTCCCACGTCAGGTTCCCTGCATGGAGCCTGCTTCTCTCTCCTCTCTGCCTCTCTCTGTCTCTCACAAATAAATAAAATCTTTAAAAAAATATATACATATATATTAAAATTAGTCATTAGGGAAAAGCAAATCAGAATCATGATACTGCTTCATTACCCACACTAGTGGAGCTGAATCAGTATGAAGTATGGCATGAATGTAGAGAACCTGGAACCCACATACACTGCTGGTAGGAATCTAACAATGGTCCAGCCAAAGACAGCCTGTCATTTCATTAAAAGGCCAGAGCTACCATAGGACTCATTTGTACATACACCCCGACAGTATATGTCCACACAAAAACTTGTATGTGAATGTTCGAGGCAGCGCTATTCACAACAGCCAAAAGGTGCAAATATCCCTCAAATCCATCAACTGGTAAAGAGGATAAATAAAATGTTGTATATTCACAAAATATTATTCAGTGATAAAAAGGTACTAAGCACTGGCACCTGCCACATCATGGAAGAGCCTTGAAAACCTTACACGAAGTGAAAGAAGCCAGTCACAAAAGACCAGATAGTATATGGTTGCATTTGTATGAAGTGTCCAGAATAGGAAACATATAATTGCAGCAGACAGACAGGTGGTTGCCAATGGAAAATTGAGGGTACTGGGAAAGGTTGAGAAGTAACGGTTAATGGGGACACGGTTTTTTGGGGAGGTGATGAACATATCCTAAACTGATGGTGGTGATGGCTGAAAAAAATTGAGAAAAGAAAATGTATCACCCATGAAGTTCCAGAAATGGAAGACCCATTTTTTTTTAAAAAAAACCTTCAAGCACTTCTTAAATCCACACAGCTTCTAGTATTCTTCGTGTACTTTTAATGTGCCTGATTATGGGAAAATGACAAACTTTTATGGGTTTTTAAGGCTTTTACTCAATTGGCATTTTATTCATTGAAACTAACAGCATCTACTAAGAATGGAAACATTGCCCAGAAATGACTCAGGCTACGCAATGTTTAGGTCACGTGCAGATTTACAGACCAGCCCCTGCAATAACTCCAATCTGCACTGATTTGAACCACCGCCACTTCTTAGAGACATTACCATAAAGTCAGATAGTGATAAACTATCTCCTTGGCCAGATGCTCTCACTTATGTCAGTGTGAGTGTGGTCCCCGGAGTGGCTCCGTTATCAGACTGCAATGAGCTGAAGAGCATGCACCTAACTGTAAACCAACACGCTGCTTCCTTTGTTGAGACAGTCCTGCCAACAAGAGTCTGCAGAACTAAACAATATGCTCAGGGAGAGTGGGACTGAGGTGCAGCAGCAGCAGCAGTGGCCTCAGCAGCACGAGAGGTTAAAGCTAAGGCAGCATGCACAAGAAAAGCCAGCCACGGAGCAAAAGTGAAAGCAGGAAGGGCCCTAATTGTCATTTTCTGCACTTGAACTCCTGCACATGAGCCATCACAGGTTTTTCGGATGAAGGTATAGAGCCACCATGAGAACCAACATATACCAAAGGCCTGCTCTATGCTGGGCTGGTACTGGGGCTGGGCACTTGAACTTAAATAGGAATATTGCTAATCTTGAGGACATGTGGGCTTCTGATCATCAGGCTAGATTTCTGTGGCAACAGAAATCTGGAGGTTGGCCAATTTTATCTTACCAGTTTCCAAGATTTTTACAGCCTATAAAACGTTCAAGCTTTTTAGGAACTATGTTAGTCAAAACTGTTGTAAGACTTGAAGAAGAAAATAACTCTTTAAAATGTTAAAAAGCTCAACAAAATCTAATGGCATGACTAAAATGAAAATTACGAGAAAAATATTTTTTAAGCAAGTATGCCATGCCTGTAAATGTACCTTGCTTCTTCTTGACATGGGTTCTCAAACTCACCATTCCATCTTGTATTTCACTCTCTGAGAAACCGCAAAATGATTCATCGTCAGAGTCGGCATGAAAAATACTGGCCAGTTCTTTAGTGACATCTGGCCTTGGTTTCTGTAAAAATCCACAATGGTCTAACACATCTTGCACCTCACTTTCTGAAAAGCCGCAGAAAGATTCATTATCAGAGTCCTCATAAAAAACATTTGCCAGTTCTTCACTGATATCTGACCTGAATTTAGGTTTCTGTAAAATAAATAAATAAATGTGGTTGTGCATTTTTTCCCTCTTTTTTCAAGAACCAATTTTCCATAAACCGTGCAGAGAGCAAATCACATTTACAAGTGCACTACAAGAGAACAGCTTTTGTTACAAAGAAAAATGGTTCAGAGGTTTACAAATGATTTCTGAGTTGTTATGGCAAATCATCAGGCATGTTAGGTTAGGCGACATTTCAAAAAGATAGAATAAGTAGCTAATCTACCTCCAACAATTACTACCTAGAACCACAGCAAAAAAGTGAAATGAAATTACAATGCATACTGTATTTTCCAGCAGCTGTATAGAAATGCAGGCAAAAAAGCAAGCAGTTTTAATCACGCACAAAGCATTTGGGGCATTGTGGGCACCGCAGACTCAATTCTGTTTATTCTCAGGCAGCACTTACTGTGTTTGCAAAATTATCAGAAGCAAAGCTGTCACAACTGTCATCAGAGGATGACGACGTTTCCATGGAAATCAACTTCACATATCTAAATTTCTTTACGTTCTTCTTTACTCCGTGATCCTTTTGCTGCAAATGAAAATGGCAATACTATTAAATGGGACGCTTACTACACCCTCTAACCGAAGACATCATTTTGAGTTTAGTAGTTCTAACAGCACAGGGTAGATGTGTCCATTTCTTACACCTTATATAGAAAAAGGAGGATTTGCAAATGCTACAAAAAAAAAAAAATTAAAACCTGGTAAAATCTTAAAAGGGGATTTAAAGGAATATTGTTAAGGACACTTATCAGTTTAATCAAACATCTGTGGAACTACCTCACTGCTCACCTCTCTTCCCACCAAGCCGAGCATTATACAGAGTTCCCAAGGGGTTTAGTGCTGACCTCCTAAAACCTGCCTGTTAAAAACACTGGATTGCACTTCTAAAAGGAAATTTCAAAAGTACAAAATGGTAGGGTGATTTCTCTCTGTCGGCCAAAATCAAGCTAATGAGGTCTTTTTTATATAAGCTTTGGGCTCTGTACTGTGATGCTAATTATCCAAACGACAAAAACTGGGCAGCACCTCTACTTCAAGATGGCAGGCTTTCAAGCAGGCCCTGCTCTACCAGGAGGGGTATAGGGATTTCAGCACAAAGTCCTTACAAATCGCGTACATCCACAGAGTGAACAAACCCACAAGGAGGCAAGTTAAAGGTCAAACAGCCCTCCAAACCCAGGAAGAATGCCTGATTCCACTTCAGCCTTCTAGTAGCCTGGCACATTCAGCTCTTCCTGCAGTCCCCTTGCTACACAAATCTTAAGTTTTTAGAAGTTCTTCCTACTTGCAGGTTACTTGTTCATACACACGGAACAGCCTGGCTTTGCACCTCAGAAAATGCAACTGGCATCTATTTCATGTTAAAGACAGCAGTTTCTGGCATTTCTTAATATTTAATGAGATTTCTTAAGTGCTTTTAGTTCCTATATTTAAATCTTCTTAAGTATATAGCTGCACGATAGAAATGACTCCTCACGTTGAAAACTCTGAAAGGCAATCTCTGCTATGGGTCTCACAAAATAAAGCCAAGATGTGAGGTGTCAGGAACATTCTAGACCTTCCTTGTACACCTAACATTCTGTATTTCATTTCAATCTCTTGCAAATAAAATTGTCATGTCTTTTGTCCTTTAGAAAGGCAGGAAAACGTGAGAATAGAGCTACCATCTATTAGAAAGGCTCTCACAAACACCCCATATTCCAGGTGAGGAAACTCAAGGCCCCAGGGAGGGTGAAATCGAGTGCAGGAGATGACACAGCTGGAAGGAGAACCCAATTCTGCAGTCACCTAGGCCAGCACTGCTCCTAGCATTCCGCTGCAATTTACTCATCAATCTCCCTGTGAGCAGAGGTCCAAGACCGCCTCCGGGGAGGCATTTTACTGGAAGCTGACAAGGAAACATACGCTGGGCTTTAACACGCCAGCACAGGCCAAGAATTAGGTAGCAGGCAAATGCATGTTTGGAGGTAAAGACATAGAAAAAGGCAAATGCTCACGGCTGAGATGAACTTTTCTGGCAGGCAGGGAATATAATAACCAACACTGTGCCGTAGGTGTTTTTTCTGTGCCAGGCACTGAGCGTGTTTTCACATAACGTCTACTCCCTTGCAACCAAGTGTTATCATTATTCCCACCTAACAAACGGGGAAGGAAGCAGGGAATGCCTGGGTGGCTCAGGGGATGAGCGTCAGCCTTTGACTCAGGTCCTGGGATCGAGTCCCCATCCGGATCCCTGCATGGAGCCTGCTTCTCCCTCTGCCTGTGTCTCTCATGAATAAATAGGTAAAACCTTAAACACACACACACAAATGGGGAAGCTGAGGCCCGAGGGGTGAAGTGGATTACTCAAGTCACAGGATGGCCCAAATCTGAACGCAGGGATGTCAGACTCGAGCCCTGCTGGACGCGGCTTTCTCCAACCTAAAAGCCCAGGCCGGGTTACACCCAGAGGTGTCCGAGGCCACGCCCCCACCCCCACCCCCCCTAGAAGCACAGCCTCCTCACGTGTGTCACTCTTATTTATAAAGCATGTCACTCCCTTCCTCCACCCAGCCCCCATCTTCTTAACATCTCCGGGGGGCAGACCCTACGTTCCGGTTTCCGTTAGAGCAAAAAAAGTAACGTCCCATTCGGGGCAGCGTCCTGCAGCTGCAAGGCCGGGGGGTGGGTGAAGGGGTGCAGAACCGGCAAACGGCAGGCGGCCAGTTGGGACACCAGCTCGTCCGGGTGCAATCGCCGCCCGGACCTGGGGCGCCTCACAACCCCCCCCGCCTGTGCACACCCCAAGTCCGAAAGAGACCGTTTTGCAAGACCTTGAAACTTCAAGCCCACCCAGCCCCGTCAGCGGCTGGAGAGCGGGTGCGGGAGCGGCGGGGAGCACGTCCAGGGGCCCCCCCGGGGCGCGCGGGTCCCCGGCCGCCGGGAGCCACCCACCCGCCCGGAGCTGCGGGGCAAACCCCGGGGGGCAGGGAGGGGCGGCCCCCCCCCCCGACCCGGGCTCGGGCCCGCAGGCACAATGGGGCCCCGCCGGCTCCGGCCGCTGTCCGGCCCCGGGGCGCACGTGCACTGCGGGCGCACGTGGCTCCGGGCTCGCCCGGCGCCGCAGACCAACCTGCAAACCGCTCAGCTCGCCGCCCGCGCGCGCCGGGTGCGCACGCCCCGCGGGGTCGGCCCCCGGCTCCGGGTCACCCGAAACGCACGCGATCTGGGGGTGGGGGGGCTGCCCCAACGGGAACCGCCCAGGATGGCCACCGGTCGCTAAGGAGCGCCGGGTCCGCGGAGTTCGGGGGATCGGCCCGCGCCCAGCGCCCCGCGCCCCGCGCCCACCGCGTCCACCCCTCGAGCTCGTCCGCCCAGCGCTCACCCGCACGCGGCGAGCGTCCATGCCGGCGGCGGGCGCGGAGCCGGAGAGCCGAGCACCGCGAGCGCCGCGGTCCCACTGAGCGGGAGGGAGCCGAGCGGCGGCGGGCGGGGCGCGCAGACCCGGGCCCCGGGGGGCGGGGCTCGGCCGGCTTTCCCGCGCCGGGGCGCAGGTCCTGCCAGCTGCGGAGACCGCCGGCGGGGCCACGGGCGCCCTCCCGCCGCCGGGGAAAAACGCGGCCCCCCCAGATATTGCGAACTCAAGGCACAGCCTTGGAATCCCCTAAAGTGCGCCTGGAAAAGCGGCGCCTTTTACGGGCGCTAGGACCCCTCTCTTTACGCTGCTGCACAGACCTGAGCGAGTGGCGCGAAAGAGGTTCGTATTGCCCCGGGGTAGGCAGGCTGATTTGCATGAGTTCCCGGGGCCGCGGGCGCCCGGGCCTGCGGGGTGCGGCTCACGTCGTGGAAGACAACCCAGGACTTGAGCACGGATTCTCCCCCTTACTAGTGCAGCCCCTGTCCCCGAGTGTGGCACCTCCTACCTGGCGACCCCATCACCACCCGCAGCAATAAAATGAGGCAAAGCCTGACGTTTCCTTGCAAGAACGCGCAGGGAGCCGCGCTGTGGGTTTTATGCAAGACTTGTGCTTTGTAACTTAAGACTTAACCTGCGGGATCGTACGGTCTTGCCAGTGCATCTGTTGGGGGGGGGGTAGAAGCTGGAGCCCCTTTATGTGGTTTGGGGGATCTTCTCTCTCTCTCTCTCTCTCTTTTTTTTTTTGATCTTCTCTTTTTTTGTGCGAACTTGTAGTTACCGAAATCGGGATGACCGCGAGATATTTTTCATTTGCCCTTCCAGTCAAACGTGACATTTCCGACGCAATAAAGTGTGAGGTTTTGCATTTTTTTTCATTTTTTATTTTTTTGGTGGGGGGGAGAGCAGGAACAAGAAAAAGGGCTTTAAGAAGAAAAGGTAAAAGGAGTTGGGTGGCTTTAAAGGCCACTGACTGTCATCTCGCATGTAAGACAAGGGCTTGGGATGGAAACCATCGAATTTGCTCCTTAAAAAACTTTTCTCTCGCCGAGAAGTCCTCGGCAGTGAGAGAGCATGCGTGAGCGCCGGGATCCAGAAACTTGGGAGCGAGTCCTGCAGGAGAACAATGGGTTGGAGGAGTCGGGAGGGTCTGGGAGCGGGTCCTCGAGAGCCTCCCCCAAAGCCGCCTGCCCGGGGTCACGGTCACCGTGCGAGGGACAAAGGACCCGCGGCCTGGAAGGTAGGCGCCGCGGGAGGCGGGGGGCGCGGCGAGGCCCTTGGCAGCCGCGGGGATGGGCGGGGCGGGGGCGGGGGCTCCTAAGTGTCTGTTGGGTAAATAAACAACTATGTAGATGGTGAAAGCCCTAGAATCGTCGTTAGTGCTGGGTCCTTGGGAAATGTGGGTTTTTTGTTGGTTTTTTTTTTTTTTTTTTTGCCCCCGAAATAAGTGAGAATTTGGAATTGTGACATACACTAAGGGAAGAGTACATCACAGAAAAGTTATGACAGGAAAATTCTTGATTTCTTTAGGGGACTACAAAATAATTTAGCTTGCCTTTTTTTAAAAAGATTTTATTTATTTATTCATAAGAGACACACACAGAGAAAGACACATATGCAGAGGGAGAAACAGGCTCCCCATAGGGAGCCCGATGTGGGACTTGATCCCGGGACCAGGATCATGCCCTGAGCCAAAGGTAGACGCTCAACCCCTGAGCCACTCGGGTGTCCCTTTTTTTTTTCTTTTCTTCAGATTAAGAGGTCTGGTCTGTCGGTCCTTTGAGTAAAGGGGAAGATGCAAGTGAAAACAAAGGGATACACTTTCACTCTGGCAAAAAATTGAAAAGCCTGAGAAGACCAGGTGTTGGTAAGGATGCAAGGAAATTGCCTCAATGTTAGTAGTGTAATTTTTTTTTTTTTAACATCAGAGGGCAGTTCAGGGATATTTCGTAAAACCCAGCAAAACCACTTCCAGATATGTACCATCAAAGTTTTTCACACTGCAGGTTAGAGCCCATTGGGGGATTGTGAAATAATCAACTTAGCAGGTTACAACCAGCACATTTTATTCTTTTTTTTTTTTAAGATTTTTATTTATTCATTCATGAGAGACAGAGAGAGAGAGAGAGAGGCAGAGACACAGGCAGAGGGAGAAGCAGGCTCCATGCAGGGAGCCAGACGTGGGACTCCATCCCCCGGGTCTCCAGGATCACGCCCTGAGCCAAAGGCAGGCACTAAACCGCTGAGCCACCCAGGGATCCCCCTTCTTTTATCTTTCTTTTGAAATTGAGTAAAAAATAGGAGTCGTAAGTGTGACTCTTGTTTTTTGAAACTTGGTGTCACCTTTGGGTGTGTGTTTCGTATAAATGTGTATTTCATATTGTGCTTCGCCGTGGACAGAATTTTCAAGATAATGTCCTGGAGAATGCGCCTGATGAGTCTTGTACTGATGTTCTCTCATTCATTCAGGCTAAGTACTGACAGTGCGTAGTACACCAGGCACTATTCTGAGAACTGGGGACACAAAGGCCAGGGAGTTCATATCCTGGTGGAGGAGCAAAAGTAAACAAGATAATTTCAGGTGTGATAACTTCTGAAACGGGGGGGAAAAAAAAAAGGCAGGATAAGGAGATAGGAAATGAAAGAGGTATTAATTCAGATAAGAAAAACGGGAAAGGGTTCTCAGGTGTTATCTGATCAGGAGCCTGAGTAAAGCAAGGGAAGAAGTCCTAGGAAGATAAGGGAAGTGCTGGTTTCCAGCAAAATGAACAGCTAGTTCAAAGGCTCTATAAGGCCTAACAGAAGCAGCTAAATATGCTGGATTCTAGCTAGGGAAGGAAAGGGAGAGGGGCCAGATCACGGCCAGGTGCGGGGAGTGAGGGTGGTGGTTCTTCGTGACCCTGGAAAGAGCTTGGGGAGGATTTTGATGAAGGACCAACCCAATCTGACCCTATGGACTGTGTGAACTGTAGGTTGAAGGGGAACAGGATTGAAAGCTCAAGGCCCCTGAAGAAGAAAATGATGGCGTGGACTAGGGTAGTTTTGGGGTACGAAGAACTGCTCAGGTTTAAGTTATATTATTTTGAAGATAGAACTAATGGAACTGAAGGGATGGGTGGTTCATTCGTTACAGCGTTATGTATCATAGTAAAATATTGCAAATAAACGAAATGCCCCCTCAGAAGGGAAACGGATGCACAAACGGTGGAATATTCATAGAATGGAATTTGAACAGTACTTCAAATGAATGGCATGGCTTATTTGCATCAATGTAGATAAATCTTAAAAGTTGAACGAAAGAGCAAATTGCAAACATTTCTGCAGACTGTAGCCCTTATGCAAATTTTGGAAACCTAAAACAAAACCAAACAAAAGAAACCTAATGATGAAGTTTTGCAATATAGGTGAGGTCCAGAGCCGACAACCCAGAAAGAATTCTTGAGACGTCTTTGGTGCAAAATGGTGGTTTTTATTAAAGCACAGGGACAGGACCCGTGGGCAGGAAGAGCTGCTGCCCTGGGCCTGTGAGGGGTGGCAGATTATATACCTGGGAGTTGGGAGGGGTTTGAGGATAACCTAGTCTCTAAGGAATTTTGGAAGCAGGGTTTCCAGGACTCGAGGGGGCGAGCTGATGTTGGGAAAAGATCACTTCTTACTGTCTAATAAAACCTGAGTCATGAGACCCTTCAGTTGTGTGTCTGTGGGCCATGTGCTTGGGTGCTTGGATGGTTGCCAACATGTATGTTAGGGGTTTAGCGATAAAGGAAATTTCTAAAGGAATTTTTATATGTTAAAGTAGACTTACAGGCTCCTGGGGCTGGTTAGGCTAAGATTGCCTTCTGCCCTTAGCAAAGTATGAACATCGAGGTAGTTGAGTCTGTAGAGGAATGTCACTCTCCCTGTTTCAAGGACTTGTCAATGTGCTTTGTTCTCAGCTAATCCTCTGTTCCCCCATCAATAAAACCTACTTAGGTTGTGAAAGTATTGGGATGCTTGGGTGGTTCAGTGGTTGCATGTCTGCCTTTGGCTCCGGGCATGATCCCGGGGTTCTGGGATCGAGTCCTGCATCGGGCTCCCTGCATGGAGCCTGCTTCTCCCTCTGCCTGTGTCTCTGCCTCTCTCTCTCTCTGTGCCTTTCATAAATAAATAAAATATTTTAAAAATATGTTGTGAAAGTATTAAATAGAACCTACACAAAATAGAATAGAGGTAAACTCTGAGGAGGGAAAGATGGAAAGAAAGAGAGGGGGTGTGGCCTTCCACTCTCACGGATGCTTTCTTTAAGAATAAATAGGGGCTCCTGGGTGGCTCAGTTGGTTAAGCGCATCAGCCTTCAGCTCAGGTCATGAACTCAGGACCCTGGCATCAAGCCCCACATGGGGCGCCCTGCTCAGCGGGGAGTCTGCTTCTCTCTCTCCATCTGTCCCTCTCTCCTACTCATGTTCTCTTTCTCCTTCTCTCTCTCAAATAAATAAATAAAATCTTAAAAAAAAGAATAAATAGCATGAAGCAATATGGCAAACTGTTCAGTGCAAGTGGTGGGTATGTGAGCGTCTTTTATATTTTTACTTTCCCTGGTTTTTTTTTTCTTCTGGATCTAAAACATTTTTTTAATGAATTTTAAGATTTTATTTATTCATGCACAAAAGAGCACCACCAGCAGGGGGAAGGGCAGAAGGAGAAGGGGAAGCAGACTACCCCCATCCCAGCCCTCCAGCAATGAGCCTGATGTGGGGCTCCATTCCAGGACCCCGGGGATCATGACCCAAGCAGAAGGCAGATGCTTAACTGACTGAGCCACCCACGCATCCCCTATAATAAAAATTTTTTAAAGTTTGCGACACTTGTCCGGTCCATCAAGATCTATAGGTTTGTAGTATTAAATATGCAGTCCAGTTTACAGCGGTCCTGTAAACGGGACTGCAAGTTCATCTTATAATTTTAGGTACCTCCTAAAGGTCTTAGATCACTATGTTAATAATATACTGGTAAATGTGTTCATCTTAAATGAAAGACACAGAATGAGTAAGAATGGAAATTCAGTGTGCACAAAGTCATGAGGGCCCA